ATGTGCAAGAGATCAGAAATGAAACGGTTCGAGCAAAATTATATTGTGAAGCTTGTTGCAAAACTGAACATAAATAAATGCTTAGCGTATAATTTTTTTACCACTCGACAACGCCCAAAAAAGATGCATTTAAAGTTTGCACCTGTGGTTCTAACCTTTGAAGAAAGTAACTTTATAATTATGTTTGCGGTGGTTTTGTTTTACTAGACCAAATTCGACAATCAAAATAGTAATTTTTATGAAATTTCCTTCTTATACTCAATTAAGTTTTGGTTCCTTGAGTTCTTATCTCAAATGATATTTCAGAGGCAATGTTTTTTTCTTTTTTGGTAGAAATCCGGGGATTTGAAAATTAAAAACTTTTTGCGGGTTTTTTGAAGGTTTCAAATATGAAGCTGAGAGCGTGGCGCAAGTTGATTGCGAGCGGTGAATTATCCTGCACGCTAGAAGTTCCAATTCGAATTGAGGCAAGATATTGGTCAAATTAATTCCCTGAATGACTCAAATTTCTCAAACTTTGTGTTAGCTGCTGTGAGACAAAAAAATTTTTCTTTATCAAATTTAAATGAGACCATTTAGAGGCAGATGGTACATTCCTGCTTGAATTCTTGTTTAAGGGATCATTCGTGTTTAACAAGGAGTCTTGTTTAAAATTAGTTCACTTTTATTCTTTTTATTCTGATATCAGAGAGTCAATAATTTAAGATAACATCTTCTATTGACAAGATTTTTTCAAGATGGCGTCTGATCAACAAACAATATCCGGTAACCGAAAACAGCACAGCCGTCATTAAAAGTTGTTTTTTTGTTGTTTTTTTGCAGAATATGAAATTAATAAGATAACCAGGGGCAGATCTAGGATTTTCTCGATTTTTGAGGGGGGCGGATTTTCAAAAAATTTTCTAAAACTTTGACGACCTTTTTTTAGGTCGACCAAATTGATTTTGCGAGCTAACCTGAAGCACTAAAAGACGCTGTTTTGACCAAATTTTCTGCGCGCGCGCTTCTTGACTAAATTTTGGTGCGCGCTCCCCCTTAAAATGAGTATTTATTGGCGCCAAAGGCGCCTTTAGAAAAATTTTAGGATCCGTCGCCAAGTCTGGATATCTCACAATAGTACAAAGGGGGGAAACTTTGGGTAGGCAGGTGGTCGAATCCCTGGGGGAGGGGGCGTACGCCCCCCGCTGCCCCCTCTTAAATCCGGCCCTGAAGATAATCTTTGATTTAACTTATTGCTAACGATACAAATTTTTGCCAGTTCCAGGAGTTTGTTGCCGGTTTCAGACATTTTTTCTTATGTAAAAAAATTCATAATAGCTAAAATAGATCAAGTCTGTTTGTTGATCAAATAAGCATTGAATCGGAAGTAAGCTTCGGAGACCTGAGACCTCAGATGGTATTTTTTTAAATATGTAATGAACAAATTCCCAAAAATTCTGAAATTTTGTGCTGGTCGACATCACATAACGTGACAGAATTTTTCGTCAGGTTGTTTCTTTGCATGTATGATGCCGGCTTTGTCATGAAATAAGAAGCATTTGAGCGATCATCTCATAGTTCCAAATTTGGCAAAATGGAGCGTCAGAAAAAAAATATCGAAAAGCTTAGATAAATTTTTAACAACTCTCTATGGTAATTTTGCTCTTTTTCATCGTAGAGAGAAAAAACGTACTGAAACTTATATTCTATAGTAGCACTGATATTACACTCTTTTCAAACAAACAAATAAATTTAGGGGTAGCAAGGCTATCTGTTCGCTGTAAATGCAACACGAGATGTTCTGACCGCAGATGTTGAACTTGTGAAAATCAAATACTAAAGAAATAATCAGCAAAAGCAAAAATGGTTTGACATTTTTTAAAAATAAAACAAAAAGTTTTCATTGTTTTTGAAGTTTTGTGTTTTTTAAATTTTTTCGTTCCGCATGTTTTTAAAACAAAAGCAAACTGCAAACTAAATTTAATGCAGCAAAAATGAGAAAATCTAGGCTAAATAGTTTAAATTTAGGCTAAATTAGAGGTCATAAACACGGGAGACCGGAGGTGCTACAATTGCGACAAACCCGGGTTCACGAGAGAGCATATGAACGAGTGTGCTGCCAAAAATGCGACCTGTAACTTCTGCCACCTTATTGGGCACTTCGAACGGACCTGTCGGGCCAAGAAAAACAATAGGGAGAATTCATCGGTCGGAATTATTCAGGGGCATGTTAGTCAGGAACGATTCGAATCGGAAGAGACGGGGGACGAATAATCGCAGCACGAAAGCTCAGTGGGATGGGTGAAGGATGGTAAAGAAAAACAAGTCAGATCATGGGGTTCCGATTGTTTGGGGGAGGGGGACGAACAAGGAAGCAGACGGAGCTATGCGTAGCGGGGGCGAAATTTCCCATTCTAGGGTCGGCGGGGCCAATCAAAACTTTGTGTTTGAAAACTTTTTGTATACTTTTTAAATTTACCTAAATCAATACCAGTGCAGTACATTTGTTTTTACAAGAGGGTATGTCATAGTGCTAAATCAGTTAGCCAAATCTATTTATTTCTTCAAAATTTGACATTTGGTACTTATTTTTTTGTACTTGCTAATTCAATTCACGTGCCTCCAGTGCGAGTTTTACCGAACCGTCCTTCTTCGCCGTGCTGATCGGTGGTGATACAAAAAATTTGTCTGAACATTCTTCCAATTTTTCTATATGCCCTTGTTTAAGTAGTTTATAAATCTCCCCGTCGAACTTCTCTTGCAGCACGATTGGGACCCTTCGTCCTTTATGTTGAATCGGTATCAAGTTAGCAAAAAACTCGGCTTACATTTTATAATTACGTATTTTCCCACCCGTTTAAAGATATAAGTGAATGGCTTACTGAACTAATCTTCCCACTTCTACAACTGAACCCCGTTGTCGACACCGGATTCGTCCTGGATCGCCATCACTTCCTGACCCAGCTTTCTCTGGACTAAATGCAATCCTAAGCGGGCCATCAAGTCTAGTCCGATAACTGATGGTCGAGCTCCTCAAATTACCTTGATTACAGCAGCTGTACTCCACCCATTCGATGCCAGCTCTACTCACATCGTCTCCAGTAAGTTCATTGGTTTATTCCCGTATTGCGAAATGCTTTGTCCTTCGGCTCGACTTCCTGAAAATTTATACCTGAGGCGCCTAATGTTTTCGGAGTTCATTAATGGTAAATATTGAGATTACCGACCCACTGTCGATGCACACACTAGTTTTTCGCCTGTTGATTGAATGGGAAATTTCGCCCCCGCTACGCGTAGCTCCGTCTGCTTCCTTGTTGGTACTGCCATCACGATAAAGCCCCCCCCCCCCCCCCCGAACTATCGGAATCCCATGATCGGACTCTTTTTTCTTTACCATCCTTCTTCCATCCCACCGAGCTTTCGTGCTGCGATTCTTCGTCCCCCGTTTCTTTGGATTCGAATCGTCACTGACTATCCTGCCCCTGAATAATTCCGACCGATGAATTCTCCCTATTGTTTTTCTTGGCCCGACAGGTCCGTTCGAAGTTCCCAATTTTCCGGCAGAAGTTGCAAGTCACATTTTTGGCAGCACACTCGTTCATGTGCTCTCTCTTGAACCCGGGTTTGTCGCAAATGTAGCACCTCCGGTCTCCGTGTTTATGCCCCCTCGGTACGATCTTTGGCCTTTCGTTTGGCTGCGTCTTCTCCCCCGGTTACTTCGATATCTTCCTCGAATGGCTCCCACCGGTTCCGTCCTGATTTGTATTCCGCCGCCTCCGGTACTGCTGGACGCTGTGCCTCCGATCGTAACATAAGTTTTAGCTTTTTGTCCCCTCGCGCATAAGAGAGAGCGATCCAGTACGCCTCTTCCGGGGTTTTTGTGGCCCTGCACAACTCGTTTTGGGCCTCACGATTTGTCATATTAACAATGAAAACATCGCGTAACACTCGTGACTCCAGTGTCCCGAATGAACGACACGCCGCCAATCCACTAAGAACAGCATGAAACTGCTCCAATGATTCCCCGATTCTCCGCTTTCTCGACAACATCTGAAATTTTTCGTAGGTTTCATTTCGTTCCTTTTTGAATTCCCCCTCCATCGCATCGAGCACCCTCGGATAACGTGCGTCTCCCACCAATTCCAGATGTGGTCTACGTTTGTGAAACTCCTCCTGTCTTTTCTCTCCCAGGCAAAGGTATAAGTTCGAGATTAAAATTTGTTCCCCCACTAACCTAGTTTTTCCATCCACTTCTTCCGGCAACTTCGTCCAGTTTATCCGCCTAGCAATAATTCTTTGGATTTATAGAATGTTTCGCGACCATTCCCCACTGGAAGCGATTCAACCAAAACTCCCATAACATGGGGTGTTCCACACTTTTAGCTGGCCAAAATGATTGAATTCCTAGTGGGTTTTTTTCCTCACTTGGGCCTGTTGACTGCGCCTGATGGGAAAAACGCTAATTCGATACTTGAATTAAAATTTCCAGAAAGTGCAACTTGATTATAGCTTAGATCAAACGAGACAATGTTTTAGATAATATCCGAAGGTGTCAAAGACTCCGAAGGCCAAACACCTGCCAAAGATGTTTAGCATTGAGATGAAATGAAATGTTTGACAAAAGGAACTATCAAGAACTAAACAGACTTGGATAACTGATTTAGCACTATGATACATTGCAACATGTCAATTGGTATCTGTCCAATTTTTGTGTAGTTGTTTAGTCACATTGTCCAATTCATTTTTCTAGACATTGAGACTACTTTAAAAAATTTTGTATGCTTTTGGTTCAATTAATTGCGAGTTTTCAGCTTTACTGTCTATTTAGACTAGCTTTTATTGAAATGAAGGTTTTTTGAAAAAGTACCAGGTCAAAGTCAAAGCTGCTTCTAGTCACCTTTTGGAAATTTCGACCAACGTTGCGTTTCATCCGAGCGTGATTCACCTCAAAAGTAGTATATATTGGCGTCAAAAGCATCCTTAGAATAAATTTAGGTTCGGTCGGCATTCAAAACTCTTACCTTGGTAGACTTTGCCAGATCCGAAATCACAAATTCCGCTAGTCCCACAGCTGAACGCATCCAACTCTGTAGAAAAACTGTATAGAATAATAGAGGCACACAAAAGAGCAACTGCGATCAAAATTGCCAAAATAACCGCCAGTTTGGCCGCTTTTTGCCCGGCCGTCCAGGACTGTTCTTGGATTCGCAACTTCCGAACAGGTGAGTACTGGAGATTAGTTCCAGGGTAAAAGGTATTTTTGGAGTCTATTACAGTCGTGATTTTTGAGTCCACAGCTTTTAGCGACCCGTTAGATAAGTCACTATTATGAGAGAGCTGCTTCATTGGGTATTCGTGGGTTCGCCTTAGGATCGATTTAGGAGTTTCGAAGCCGTTAGACTCCACTTGCACATCCATTTTGAGACCAAGTATGGAAATTGCTTCAGAATTTACAAGCTTCGAAACAATAAATGAAGCAAAGAACTAGGAAAAGAAAAAACACTAGTTACTCAGAAAAGGTCATTATAGTTTATGATATACGAAGATGATCAACTAGTTTTGAGAGCAACAATTTTTTTCCAGGTACACAGGAATGCAAGCTTAGAGCGAAGGGCGCAGAAAAAAAACACAATTAAACAACTAACGGAGTGTAAAAATAATAATCCGCCGTAAAACACCATGCAGTCTTCATAATAAAAACCTAACGGTCAACCGACCGTGAAATTGTCACCCATCAGCCGTGAACAGTCTTTCATGGCTGATAGTCGATGGTAAGTGATTTACTTATTGATTGAAAAAGTGGGCAAGCCATTGTGGAGCTAAATTTTGAAATAACTCAAAATCATTTCAGCTTGTGACATTTGGAAAAAATAATGACGCCAGAGAAAGATTTTGACGTTTTTAGATTGAAAGTTTATTAAGATAACATGAAAACATTGGTTATGAGAAAGAATGGCTATAAGAAGAGTAATTTATTCCAACTCTTTTTTTGCACTTGAGTTAAATGGAGGTAAGAGACTTTCTGATTTTTTCCAACCACGGGAAATTGGAAAAAATTTCACGCCTCCAATTGGCTGAATTTTCAAGCAGTCTGCACTGAAGTGGCATATACTACTACTTGCTTCAAATACTTTTTAGCCCAAAAATTGAAACAGGTAGAACTCTGGTCATTGAATAATTGAACTTTTCTAGCAAACCTTTTGAGATACAAGATATTTATAATGATTTTAAGCGACCATTTGAAAGAGAAGTTAAAAGCAAAATTAATAAGTAGTAAGGAAACAAAATGTTTTAAACAATTTTGGCAGCTATGAAACCATCAGGATTTTTTGGATACCGTTCATTAGTTCCATTATAATTAATTTAGTTTAAGCATAGAGACCGAATGAACAAAATATGCTCAGGTTTTTTCCAATGGTTTGACCTGAAAGATACGGGAAATTTTTAACTACGAGAATCTGGCATTTAAAAGAAAATTTATCAGAAAAATCAACGTATATATTACAGGAAGGAACAAGTTGTCTGTGTATAAGCATGACAGTGAAAAATGATATTTTGATTATCCGCATAAAATGAAGTACAAAAAGTCCCGTTAAAAGGTATGTTTTTATTGTCTTTTTAGTGCCAATGATCACATATAAAGCCGCTGATGGGGAATGATAAATGGAAAAATTCCTAAAGAATAGGATTTAATCGAGTTAATCCCAAAGTGCCGCCAGCAAATGACCGAAATTAAACAGAACAGACAGAGGACAACAACATCAAAAATAGTTATTAAGGCGGAGAAAAGGAGAGAAAAAAGCAAAAAAAGGTCTTACGCTACAAATGAAATATATAAATCAGAAAAGTACATGTCAAGGTGTACAAATGCCTACATGTTTTGAAATTGTATTGAAGAATTCAAAGTCTACCATGTTGGTCTGAAGTCTTTTGTGAAGGTCGGAAGTCTGTTGGGTGAGTCCGCACGGGAGATCGCAGCGCGTGATTTTAAAACTTCCCGTTAGACTTTAGATCGCGGAAGCTATCGGCGCCGCATTTTGAGGTATAATTATCACTAGAATACATATAAGCGTGAAAATTAACTGCGTTTTTATATTTCAGACGACTAAGAAATCTAAATTTGGGTCCATGAGCGCCAAACTAGCATTGACTATGATGAAAATAAAATACAGCTGGATTTCTTCTTCAAAATTAGAAAAAATTTCTAAAAACTGAATCTCAATTATAGCGCTTCTAAGTCAATCCAATCATTGTCAGGATAGCCAGTTGCTGTCAAAATCTTTTAAAATTAAAATAACTTTTTTCTCGAATCTTTTCATTGGTTTTCTAAATGTCTCGAAATTCATAAGTTTGTCATAAATTTTCTTGAGCTTCGTCTGAAAAACGAAAAAGGTCAGACCAACTTTTCTCGACATTAAGTCAACTTTTTGGAATCCAAAACACGGTTGAAAGCTTTGATATAAAGTTTCTTTTAGGTAATGTAAATTGTCAAGTTCGTGACGTGATCGGAAGCGAGAAACAGCAATGGTTGTGAAGGATTCAAAGTCTACCGTTTTTAGTACGAAGTCTTTTTTGAAGGTCGCAAGTCTGTTGTGAGAACCCGAACGGGAAATAAAAGTTAAAATCATTCAGCTCAACTTATACGGTACAACTTTGTGCGCGGTATAACAATTTGTATTACGCTTTTAAAAACATAGCTGAGAACTTAGAATGCATTTGAACTTACGTTAATTTCCCGTTCAATTTCTTAAGTTCTCAGCTATGTTTTTAAAAGCGTAATACAAATTGTTATACCGCGCACAAAGTTGTACCGTATAAGTTGAGCTGAATGATTTTAACTTTTATTTCCCGGGAAGTTTACGTAAGTTCAAATCCATTCTAAGTTTTTTGCAAAAGCCGCTCGGAAAAAAGTAGAGTACAAGTTTGATCATCTTTCAGAAAGGTTCTTTCATAAATTGGTCTCTAAAATTAAAACTGAAGTTTTTGGTCACTGAAATAAAAACTGTAAAATGTGGAATACCAGTTTAATCATCTTTCAGATGAAAATTATGCAAAAATTTTTGTTGAAATTTTCTAATGAAACTTAAATTATAAAAAAATCAGTCTTCAAATTAGCTCGTTCCCTATAAAAAGTCTCGTGCAATTTTGCTTTTTGCTTACCTCATGATCAAAGAGTCTGCAAAAAAGTTCTGTCGACAAAAAAAATGTACGAACTTTTCTCCTAAACTAACTGCCGGAGAAAGTGTAGTTTAATGGCAGCAGGTTTGGCATCATGGGGTGTTTATTGAGTGCGGAAAAAGCTTGAGTGTCTACAAAAAACTAAGAAGGCATAAAAATCTAATGTCTCAGCTACTGGGTATCCCCAGAAAAAAAATGTGTTCTACTGTTGCTGCAAAAGTTTATGATTTTTTTTAGCTGTAGAAACTTACAACAACGCTGAATTCGGTGGCCAGTCAATAAGCAGTATGGTCTAAGAGCAGAATGGGTTCAATAGCAGAAAAACAGAAAAATATTAATTTTTATAAGCTGATCGGTAAATTAAGTATAATAATAGTCAATATTAACAAAAAAGTTAATATTTTTTGCATAATTTGAGTAATTTAATCGAGATTTTTATAAAAATTCGATAATAAAAAACTTGATCAAATTAATCAATTCATAAATTTTTTTTTTCATTTTCTTGGTTTTTTTTGACGATTCTGATAATTGTTTTTCTCAATTTGCCCATATAATCAATAAAAAATAATATTTTTCTGTTTTTCTGCTCTTGGACTCATTCTGCTCTTAGACTATATTCTGCTTATTGCTCTGCCTCCGCTGAAGCAGACTAGGCCAACTTGTAACGCTTGACTTGACGCTAAGCTTAACACAATGACGTCGTGATATCTTCTACTCACTAAGTGTCCAGCCGAAACTGCACCTGAAAAGTTTTTCATCTCGACAGCTTTATCTGTCACAGAAAACAAAGTTAAGTTCGCGCTTCCTAGTAGATAACAAAACCTTGAAGAAAATGTTGCCTTAATTTTTTATGAATTAACTCTATCAGGGGCGGATCTAGGATTTTCTCGAGGGAGGGCGAATTTTCAAAAAAAATTTGAAAATTTTGACGACCTTTTTTTTTTAGGTCGACCAAATTGATTTTTCGAGCTCTCCCAAAGCAGTGTTTTGCCCCTATTTTGGCAAAATTTTCTGCGCCGCAGGCAAACTTTTGAAAAAACAGTCAAAAAAAGCCGTTTTTGGGCACTTTATGAAAAATTTTGACAAACAAATCGCGTTTTTTTGGCGCGCGCTCCCCCTCAAAGTTAGTATATATTGGCGCCAAAGGCGCCTTTAGAAAAATTTTAGGGTCGGTCGGGCAAAAATGGATTTCTGAAAAAGTATCAAAGGGGGGACCCCCGCCCCCTAAATCCGCCCCTGAACACTATGAAAGCGAAGAAACTTCTATGAAAAGAATTTCAGATAAGCAAAGATCGGACGCACTTGACAAACATAACAGTACAAACAACAACCAATAAATCTTCGATTTCACAGTTTATTAATCTATGCTACCACCTGCAGGCAGTCTTCTTGAGTATGTTTCTCCTTTTTGCCGCAGGGAGAAGATATCGGTCCCGCATCACACGTCCTAGCTCTTTTGATAGTTTAATTGATACTTTACTGGCCTCCTATTTTCTCGATATCGTTTTTAAATAATCAGTTTTCAATTTTCAAAACTAATTGAAGTATTTTCCTGGCTTGTTTCAGAATTATTTCCATTTAATCCTAATTTTTTCAACCACTCCCCAATGGTCAAACATCTAGCAAGATGCAATTTTATATCTTTAGTTTTCCTGATTTTCTGTATAAGGATAAAAAAAGTACTCATTGAAAATCGAAATAATAAATTTTGTTTCCTTCAGATAAATAGTTTGACTTTTATGTCAATTCTAACAATTTTTCGCATTGTTTCAATTGATTAAATGCTTCAGGTTGCTTCAAAAACGTATCTTGATCAATTTCAGTAAAGTAGAAAACTGATGAAGACTATTTCAGATCTGAATAAGAACATTTATTAGGTACGAGTTTAGAGAGAACAAATACGAAAAGGGCATTCAAGTTTGTTTTAAAACGACCAATGAAAATTTATCAATCGAAGTGAGCAGCAATTTATCTCCTTTTTTTTTTACTGTTTCGACTGTTTCGACCCTCCCTCTTTTTCTATTCCTTCTGTTTCGATAATACTGAGCAACTCAGAGGATAGATTGGATGATTTTACTCGACTGCAAATTGGATGCCAACAATGTTTTGACCAATTCGACGTAAAAAGTGAACGACTGTTCGACCCAAATTAGCGGTGGCGACCTTTAATATGCTTTAAGGATGGGATATTTCAGATCTAACTTGAGATCTGAAATTTTGTTTTTCTTTGGTTATTTCAGATCTGAAAATATCTATTTCAGATTTAATGACAGATCTAAAAATTTGATTTTTTTTGTCTTTTTCAGATCTGAAAAAATCTATTTCAATCTAAGTTCAGAACGGAAATGTCAGTGGCAGTTTCCGAAGTGGCTGTTTCTAGTATACAAAGTTCTCACAACTGACTTAATATCTTGGCTCAGTTTGGCTGAATTAATTATTTTATCAGTTGCACTTGGTTCAAAAATGATGAAAACATGAATGAAAAACTCAATGAAAAAGTAATCAACAAGGTTTTATTAACAAGGTTTTTTCATAAAATACGTTTTTCCGACAATCTTCTGCTTTTGCTCTCCTTCTTTTTTTCTTTTTCATGATCTCTTCTTTTCAATTAACTTCACGAAAACATCAATTTTGTATTTATAAGCAAAAAAAAGACAGCCAACAGAAGCTAGCTTGGAAAACCAAAAAAAATGACCAAAAATTATTGAATATTTTTAGCTTTACATGAAAAAATTTCAGTTTAAAACTTTTGAGTTTCAAAAAAATTTATGATCAATAGCCTTATGACAGCCAACAGAAGACAGCTAACAGAAACTTGGAAAAAGGTAAAACATGGAAACTGAAAAAATGACCA